TCTGAACATATTCTATCACTTTAAATGGGTGCATCAGAAATAACACCTAATGGGATACAAGTATTGCAAATTCCGCTTTGTTCCTCCCTTAAATTGCGAACTCTTATTATTACGGATGATGAAGTTGAAATGAAAACTCCAAAAGCAAAGTTTGGATGTTGGAGAACTCAATTCTGAGTTTCTAAATAATTCACTTTTTCCTATCATATCTAACAGATGACTTCCGTTACTTTATATTTGAAAAACAATACAAAAACTTCACTGCGTTCCCATAAAACCAACAGGAATGGTATGCGAAGTACTAATTGAAAAGAAGTAATTGGTTCTAAATGGCACACCTGATAGCCATCTTACTATTTTCGTGGGTTCAAGCTGGAAATTGGAAATTGTTCTCTTACTATACTGTTGCTTTCTTCCATCAGCAAAATCCTATCCTTATATGCGTGATCTCGAACCATTTAACCGAAAACTGCAGCTGTTGTCATTATCGTCCCACGTTCGAGCACTGCAGTTTAAACCTTTGAAAAAGTCAACCATGGAGTGCATGTTAATCTACTGGCCCCTCGTCTTTGTTGCACTAGATCTTTTTACACTTCAATATAAATACGACCACATTCATGCATACATTATTTGGTATGAGAGCGCGCCGATTATATCCTTCATATCAACTCAGTTAAAAATCCACAATAAAGTGGATGAGAAAAACATGAGAATAATTCCGAGACATTTAAAGAAAATAAGTCTACGTCTAAGAAGGAAAAAGTTGAAAAAATACCCTTGAGTATACATCCTGAGAATAATTCTTGGGTGTGTTGTCGTAAAAAAATTGGTAAAATAAAGCACCCTACGCCAAAACATGTAATTCCTTCCATATTCCTTTAAGTTCATTAGGTTCTGATGCAGGAGAGAGCGAATGGAGAGTTTATCGCTGTTGTCTCATGCCTCTTGATAAGAGGAGATTACATGTGCTGAACGTGGTACTGTGGTACACATAACGGCTGAAGCTGGGTTTTCGGTAATTGGTGGCAATCTTACGATCGCTAAAGTACTTGAGAAGTAGGGGACTTCACATTTATTTTTGATAGGGAATAAAGGAGAAACATCTCGTTATAATCATACAAAAAACTTAGTATTCCTTCAATTTGAGGGCGCAAATAACCTTGTGCTAGAGATGCCACTCAAAACCCGCTACGCTCTGCTCCCATTTCACACCAAGCAAGCCAAGCCTGATATCCTCCGGTAACCGCGTGTGTTAAAATGCCTTCGTGCTTTGAATATGAAGCTTAACAAAGAAACATGAAAAAAACGAATTGTTTGTACGCTCTAGAACATTTAAGTGTCGTCTTCGTGAAATATAATAATCTTCATCTTGTGGGCAAAAATCCGTGGATTGTAATCCGTGGTTTTTATTCCAAACACTAAGGTCTAGTAAGCACCGAGTTTTGTTGGTTTATAGTTGAAAGTGATCATCAACGTTCTACAAAATACATTATTTCCAGTGCATGTCGGACCTTATGTGTTAAGGAAACACAACTTTTCCAAACTTCCGCAACACAGCGTTTTGAAAGAAAATAAGAATCATGTAGTGCCAGGAGACTGTAACAAAAATAAAAGATGAAGGACATAATGTTTTGCAGAATGGAAGTAAATACCTTCACAATTTTAATGTTTTGAAAGTATACATAGCCCAAAAAGGTTTCAAAAACGAAGGAACATTAGTATATTTGCAAGTGCTAAAACCTTAGAAGGATTACTATTCATGACCATCCTTTATCAACTATCAACTGACCGTACCAACTGAACAACACTTCTACTATGTATCCCATTAAAAGATAGTTAGATATCAGTTTCAGCTTCTCATACTAATGAATTCATAGACCTTGTATGAAGACATCATAAAGTTAATCGCCATTCCTTAAATCCGTCGTGACGTAGCAATGCAATAAACGCCGAGTGAAAAATATTTGGTGCCAAAAAACGGTCGTAATGAAAAGAGTATCCAAATTTACAGCATAATGAAAAAATTGAAAAAATTTACAGCATTTACAGCATGCTTTAATCAGAGCGTGTTTTTGAAAATCGACAGTGGCACACCCTCTTCAACGTGCGAACGCGTTAATGTTCAAATGGCACCATTTTGGCAGTTCTGTTTATGAATAGCCCTGAAAACAGATTCTCCTTCTCACTATATCAAACTCAACTCCATAACGGTTCCCTCACCTCACTCAACACGATAGTCTACGTTTTATTTCAGCATATCGTAGGGAAAACACTTCAAGCTAATGGTTCACCCCATTTGCCAACAACGAATACTACGACAGTGAAAACAAGTTGCACAAGTCCAGATCACTTTTCGAACTTGTCAATAACACGAACTGTAGCGAGATATAAAGAGCAGGAAAATACGCCTCTAATGGTGAGTTTTTCATCGCGTTTAGAGGTATAGTTACATTCAGCCGATATATTCCACAGAATAGGGGCAAACACGCCCCTTCGATATTGTAAAATAAATCTCCCTGATTACATTCTTAGAAAAGCAAATAATTGCAATGAAATATGATAATTCTTTATAAAGGCATACTATGTGGAAACACATTGACCAAAGCACATTCTGTGCACAGAGCAATTCAAAGAAACTCTCTCCAATGATTTATTGCTTCATCGTAGCGAAAATGTTCCCTGAGTGTCGAACTTCATTGTTTAACACACAACGGCCACGTGGTTTTCGGAGTGTTTGGAGTTCGAGACGGCGTATAACTCTCAGCGTTTACGGAATTGCTACTTTTTTCTTCACAACAAACGAACAGGACGAGAAAGATTCTCCTCAACCGCTGCATACGTACAAATGCTATGTATGTTCCCAAGACTGACTTTCTGTTAACCTCGGCATTGATTGATAATTCGATGTTTTTCTTCAATAAGCAGACACGAGGCCGTTATCTTGGATTTATTAGGAAACAATAGCTGACGTTTCGGCGGTTTCGCCTTCATCAGAGCCGTTTATTTGTTGTAAGTATTTAAGTTAGTTGATGGATAGCAGCCGCACAGAGTAATACATAGGCGAGCTCTGTGCGGCTGCTATCCATCAACTAAAATACGTACAACAAATAAACGACTCAGAAGAAGGTATGTATGCTATTACTTGGCATACTATAAGTCGTTGCAACCCATCATCCATACATATCTTTGTTGGCGTTTGGAAACGTCTTGCAACTTACACCGTTTTTTTTTAACCCAAACATTCCATTCACTAACTACGATTCAATACAATGATTACAACTTAAATAACAGCCAACTGTCTTTCAAGTTACCAGTTAATGCACTCATTCGGAAGTTTTTTTTTTGCCAATTTTTTAGTTTATCATAGATCATTTACCGATGGAAGTCCGTCCAAACTTCGGTGTTGGACAAACGCTATCGACTGATTGCAAGGATTCTAGGAAAAACGTTCCGTCCCCCGATATAAACCATCTGAACGGTCACGACCGGCCACTCGGACCTCACCACATGATTCCATAGAAAACATGTCACCCATAATGTGTTAAGCACAACAGGGATATCTCTGTATCCTCTTCAGCAACAACTTTCCTCGCCCACAAAATAAACTTATCTCGCAGACACCTCACTGTAGAATCTATTAAATAGAATTCCACGTTCCACGCCTAAATTGGCGGATAAGTTGACGAGAGAGTCCAAAAAGTACCGCCAGAATTTCTGTGCGGGTAAAATAAACTAGAAGGTGAAAGCTGATATGAAAGCAATTTCGCGACTTGGCCCAGCTGACGATCATGTCAGCCACAACACTTATCCGTATGTGCAAACGATAAGGCTTTTCGTATCTGCCGTTCTTTGTGGTGTGACATCTACTATGCATAGAACTACCGATATTCACATGTTCTTTATGACACGGACCCATACAGCAAACCAATACGCCATGGATGAAAACGACCACATACAACAAATTCATGAAATCACTACAGTTAAAGAGATTTAGTATTTTTACGCCTTAATCGCCTACTTCGGACACCTTTCTAAACTAACTGACTACTGAGCGAGTTCTTGAAATAACTACTCCATACAAAATGTCTCTATATATATCAAAACAATTCGAAAATCCTTCTACGTTAAATGTAGCGGTAAATCCAACAAATGGCACATACCCTCACTTTGTGGGAAATTTGTAATACACACAGAACGGGCATCTTATCAGCCAAGTAACAGTGAAATTGTGATACAAGGTTAGCGAAACCCGCTAGGTAAGTATTTGTTAAGAATCCGTTGACAAAACTGACAAAACGGCATATGCAAACCAGACGTTCCAATATTTATTTGTTGTCCAATATATAGAAGAGAAACCGCAAAATGTCACCTAAGCAGTGAATGAAAACTAGTTGAACCCACACCGACACAAGCAAGTCTCCTATGATATCATTAAATTAGAAGTGTGCAGTGAGCAGCACTATTGGGTCAAGCTAGTTTGAACAGACAGCGATCACTGGACATATAAATGAAAGAACAGCGACAATGTGCATACCTCTCTAAAACCATGACGAAAACGTTCTCGAATATACATGAGGAAACTCATACAGTGAACATTCGGGTTATCGCCTATATCATACCCACGTTAATTCCTAATGATAACAGTCATGCGTTTCGATTCCTGCTAGTTAATATCATAGACAGGTATGAAGACGCTCTCAATGTGCTGGCTTAATTCCAGTCGAATCACGTGGTCAAAAACAAAACACAACATCCCATATGAGGAAAAATTTCGAAACTGATTTCATACCAAACATTCGTGAAAGCATATTCACCGGTTTCAACAAGAGAACATGGTGCAGATCCTTGCACTATTTATAACAACCCAAAGAAAAAACACTGAAAATATTGCATTCACCTGAAATCGTTGGACAGATAAAACGACAGAAAGCCACACTGAATTGGCAATTTGTATGTCTTTGTATATGTCTACGATAGACAAAAACAACTAGCAAGCACAGTCACCAAACAAGGATAGAAAAGGCAAACAGGGGCGTAATGAACAGAACCAACGCCGGAGTGTTCATTTCATTACACATGTCCGTTTTGCAACAGCACACCTCACCCTGACTTCCATAGTCACGGTGCTTTCGACATTTCATCCCACCACCGCCTGGCATTGTACGCCATATCTTTTCCTGACTTGGATCATCAGACTGCTCACAGTCGACACGGTCGCAGCCCAAAGAATAACCATTCTTCCTCACCGGATCTGGATCGTGATAGATTGCAGATACACAGTACCTATTGGTGGAACAGACGTCGGGCTTGATCTCAAGTTTGTGTCCGTCCTCCCAGATCTCATGATGCAAATGGCATCTGAGAGTGAGGTCGCTTGGTACCAATAGGAGTAAAAGAAATGCGGACGCGAATGCAGACGCCCGACGCATGACTGGATGTAAAAATAGGCCAGCTTCATTCATGAATATGAAAGTAACACATATCAATCATTTAAAAGCACCAGAAAATAGAAAAACCAACCTAAACAGTGGAGATCAACCACATTAGACAAGAAAAGAAAATCAAACAAGTGCGGTTAATTGCGGAATTATGCAAAATTAAAGCGGTGTGATTGTGATACCGAGTGCTAACAGACGATAGCCACCCGCAGCATGTAAAACTTTCATGTAAAGTAAAAAGAACGCGTAACTCAAAGAAACAAGAGAGAAAAACACACAAACAATGCAGAAAATAACAAGAAATTACTAAGTTACAATAGAAGTAAAGTAAACGTCATACAACAATGGTTAAACATTTCCAAATGTTGAACTCGTAAAGCTTTTTTTCCTAATTGAACCACATTTCATCACGATGTTTCTCATTTACAAGATTCTGAAGAGCAGTAGATGCACTTCATATATATATATATATATATATATATATATATATATGCTCCCAGCGATACAATCTCAATGTAGTTGGAGGTGTTTCTGGGTGTCCATCTGCGCTGTGTACCGTGGGGGATTCATTCATCCCTCTCGCAGGGTCCCCGATTCTGAGAATTAGTTCGATGTTTGGCATCAGTGAAGGTACCTAAGAGCAAACTAATACCAACATCCACCACTGTCTTGGTAATAAAGTAGTCGCATGGAGGAAATCTCTCTGGTCCACAAAGGCTGCGAGTGCCTTTGGTGGTGACAACCTGGGGTTAACTTTGACCTGGCTGACCTCAGGAATTTAGGGAACCAAAATGGCTAAACCTAGTCACCAGTCCCCATTCATGCAGAATGCCGCCTATGATGAAAATTTAAGCCGAAAATCAGCTATTTCGGAATATGTCCGATGTACTAAAAAAACCTAGACTGTTGCAATAATATGGACAATAGGCGGGCAAAATAAACAAACCTATAAACTCATGTGTGCGACGACATGGGTTAGTATGCCAATCCTACACGAATCTAATATTTGAGAGTTTAAGCATAACTTTCTTGCAATTATCCTCTCTATTTTCGTAGGTAGTCATAATGGACATGCCTTTTTTCATCTTATAATTCATATTTTGAAAACATCGCGATAAGAAGTGGTTTCATAACTGATTCACTCTTCAAAATTGTAGTATAAAGCATCCCAAGCTCATTGCATTAAATTTTGCGTCGACGGCAACGGCAACGACGACGACGACGACGACGGTGAAGTCGAAGAAGAAGAAAGAAAGGAAAGAAAACGATAATAATAGTAATAATATAAATACTAATACTAGTAATAATAATGATAATAACAGCAATAGTAGTAGTTACAATAATGACGATTACTAATAGTAATACTATTACTATTGAAAGAATTCCCATTACTCTTAATACTACTACTATTATCGTTGCTATTACTATTATTAATACTAATACTGTTGTAATACTTGAAATGACGATGCTGATGCTGATGATGATGATGACAGTGGCGATGACGATGAAAGTATTATAATATAATTTCGGTTGACCAACATTCTTGCATTAACAAAATTAGTAAATAGAGGTTTCTGTCAGGCGGCGGCACATCGCCAAGCGTGTGCAGAGTGCATGCTAGTAGGGCGCGAAGCGGTTGATGCCCCGATATGCCTGGTTGATAGAATAGGCAGGGAGGGCAGCAGTGAGAGCTTGTCCAAGATACTGCTCACCAAGAGACGCTGCCGAAGTGGGAATACGCGCTGAAACACAGCCAAATGATCGCCATGCTCTCATGCAGTGGTGCACCCGACGGACATAGCATGCACATCACTGCTTAGGTGACTGCCGCAACTATGAATTCATTACTACTAACCGGATTTGAAAGAAAATTGTCCTTACCTTGCACAGCCGCAGCCAGCTGAAGACGGGCCTGTTCACTAAACAGGGCAGCCGTAGTAGGGTCAGTGGCAGCGAACGCCGCCTGCTGCAGAGCTGCATTCTGTTGGAGACCTGCCGCACCCAGCAAGAACTGCTGTCCATGTAGCTGAGCGGCAGCAAGAGGATTTGCTGCCAACGCTAGAGACATCGGAGACTGCGGTAATCCAGTTATTAAGCCTCCTCTAGCCAGCAAAGACTGTGCCACCAAAGGATTGCGCATATATAGCGCTCGTGTTGCCTGTACTTGAGCCAAAGCGGCGTTCTGCAGCGCAGAAGCGGCCACCGTTTGATCCAATACCCCTAAACGGAAAACTTCTATTAACATTACAGAACACAATAATAGTAAATTTGCAACCTTGTTGTAAATGTGAGAACAAATATAAACATATACACTTATTTTACAACCGCTACCGCTCACTGAAAACCGCATGCGTAAGGATAAATGACGTACAGTTTAAAAATTTTAGTTCTACTCTAAAACATGTTCACAACAAAAGTGACTCCCAACAACATTAACAATCATCGACGTTTCACAAAAAGAATCCATTTCCAAAGCTGCTATTGTGATATCTGGTATTACTCTATAATAAAGCGAGAACCCAATTAATGTTATAGGTAAATTGTTGAATGGTGAAATGATTTCCCGTTTCCTTTTCCAAGTAATAATATATTTGCAACTCAAGCAAATATACTACGTCCATGGAGGAAGTTAATGTGTCAAACACTCGTTTATTGCATGCCCTTCCCTGGGGTCTACATATAATTAATACCCATGGAACGATAGATCAAAGTCTCTTCTTCAACTCTGTCATGTTCACAACCCCCAAAGCACTTAATTTACTGAATATTTTTTCCCATTGGCAAAAAACCAGGAACTCCGCAGCGACGAAAATTGCTGGTGTTTCACTCAGAGAGCCACGTTACATAGCGCGATTTCATTATGGGTAAACATGAGAGCAGGGGTTTTACCAGGAACTTAGAAACGGTTTATAAGCCTATCGATGTGTCAATTTATATACGCATCTCACTCAATAGCAACAATGCATAGTAAGAGACATTCCAGTTCGCGCAGAATGCAACAAACCGCGAACTATTTTATGTTAAATGGTTTCCACCATAATCTGATGCACTAATTAGTTTCAGGTTCATGTTAACGCTTATAAACATCTGCAAACAAGATCACCTGATACTGTTTTAGCCTTTTTTGTGTGTATACGAGCAGTAGCACAATTAACTTCAACTTTTCTTCCCTCAATCATCGATCCATGGAGCTCCTGCCTTGCTTTCTCTGCATCTGCTGCCTTTTCCATGGTTACGAAACCGAAACCCTAGAAAAATTTGAATTTGTTGAAACAGAAAAAACCAATCGGAAATCATGAAAGCAAAAAAGAATGACCATAGCTTTGAAAAATGAACCAAAAGGAACCAGCTCCTAAGTGCTCGGCGCAGTCCTAGAATGGCGCAAAAAAAATGAACGCAACTAACGGAATTATTGAAGAACGTTGTACGGACATCTTCTATAACATTTACCTTTGAGGCTACTCATGATATCACCCACCTGGATGGAACTGGTCAAACGTCGCATTAAACACTAACTTTACTTCCGCGTTCGTTGAATATTATTTCTACATCCATCACAGGTCCAAACTTCTCGAACATTACTCTAAGATCAGGATCACGAAAACGAAACGGTATATTGGAAACGTGGAGACGCTTCGGTGCAATATCATGTGAACCTAAACTTGGGTGAATTCAACTACAATCATCGATTTCTACATACTTTGTGCCCTAACAATATATATCGAAGCATAGAACTGAATATGAAAGAACTAGTACTTAGGAAAGGCGAAGATTCGGATTTTCGACAAGTTAGATCATTAAACCATGCACCGTCGACTTCACTGCTTGTACTTGGGTCTGGCTGAGGCATTGATGAGGCCGGCACTTGTGATCCAGGTATCTGAGGTCCAATACCAGCCAGTTGTTGATGAATTTGTAACTGAAGGTCGTATTCCGCTTGTTGCTCCTCCTCAACACACACTTTTACCGAAACTAAAGCGCCAAAATGTCATCCATCTATAAAACCATCTAAAACAACTGATTACACTATGGATAAAAATGAAAAGCCTTTCTCATCCCTGAGTGTCATGCATGTTTGCCACTTATAAACATTCCAACCAGTATAAATTCTTTAATCCTTACAATATATTTGTATGCATCAATAAAGGTATTAGATATCATTGCGTCAACAACTATCCCATGGAAGGAATTACGTAGAAAAATTCCAGATCAAGGCTCTCCAAAAATCTTAACCGAAAAGTAAAAAAACCGAGAACAATGTCTATGGATGTCGATTAATTCCTCTTTCATTCATAATTGAAGGGACTGCCTAAAATATCAGCATAATATCTTTTATTTTCTCACCGTATAATTCTGAAAAAGCATAAGCAAAAACTACTATAGAATTGTGTTCATCTGGTGTACATTGTAAATACCTATAATCCACGAGTGTAAGTGAAAATATACCTCGGGAATACAGGACCCGCCCAAGTGGTCTAAAAAATCGTCCTTAATGAAAAAGCATTAAATTGAAAAAAAGTATCTGATGTAGGTTCGTAAGCAGTAAATATTCTAAGCTCTTCGATCCACCTAAGACTAAAATTCAGAATACCCTGACGAAACATCGACTTAACAGAGAGCGAATCATTTGTAGGAATAATCGATTTCTACGAGAATTCAACCATTGTACACATTCTCACGTTCGTCTTAACATACGGTGATTTCAGACTCACACAATTAAAATCTCAAGGTTATACATTTCAAAAAACTACGGTTCATTTAAAATAAAATCTTAATAACCAATTCTAAAGCGACAACGTAAAAAGGGCGCGTGTGGCACAGTGGTCGGAGGCGCCCTGCAATATACACATGGGGCCGATTCCCGCGCCCCTGGCCCACTAAGCCCTCCAGCCCTCAGTGGTCGACAAATTGGTATTGAATCCCTAAGAGATTGATCGACGCCAACAACTTTATCCTTATCATTTTTATTTATCGTAAAATCAATACAAGCTATACAGGTAAAGCTACTGTACTATACACTACACAGATTTTTTCTGTAATGTGACGGATGTGCAGTGCACCGCTGTAATGCACCAACTGTGTATTTTGTTTACTCGACCCTCCAATGAATATTGGCTTTCACACCTGCCTTGTGGATATTGTTGCATAGACCTAAAAAACAACCCACTTTATGCTTATCAGCAGACTCCAGTGGATTGTTCATCATTGAAGAGCCACCAGCCACAACCATACCATGCTGCGCTTGTATATTAGCTGAAAGACTCACTACTTGTTATTAGGATACACAATGTCTCATAGAATCCTAATTATGGATATCATACTCGGTGAAAAAATTGATGTTGAGTTTGGACTATTAAATACTGTTCAGTTTTTAACAGTTGGAAAAAAAATTACCTCTGGTCACACAGTCTCCAACTAAACTGAGACTTCACAACCTAAACATCCTTAGAATACGAAGAATGAAAACAACACTATTCAAACTGCATCACAGTACCAAGAATCTACTGCGTTCCAGTGCGAAAGAACACTATTTTAATTCTAATAATATGAAAACTACATTTAGAAAGCTACAGTAAGACCACATTGTAGCTTGCGCAATACATTGAGTGAGGTAGGGTTTTGGAGGCTAAGATGACAGCCTTTCACCACCCCTGTAAAAGAAACTGTTAAGAAGCAGACAAAACATTACTTTGTCGATAAAGCACAGATCTCATATCGTTTTTTCCTTGCTTCGAAAAAAACCCGCAAAACCAGAGTACGAATATTTTCAACATCTGTGGAATCACACGGATTATCCCGCATTGTTCCAAAAAATCGGTTCGCACAAACCGGCCGTGAGCTACAATAAGCTATGGAAAAGGATAGAAGAACGTATGATATCCGTTCACAACAAAAACAATGTAGTATACATAAATCCACTACGACTTTGGACTTTGTAGGTCAATTACTGAGAACTTTACCTGCAATTAGCTCAATTTCAATATGAACAAAAAACTTAAGGCAATTCCTTTTTCAAAATTCACAGACACGAAATAATTAGCCTATTTGTTCTTGTTTCCCAGTTACACCAGTTACGCTTACCTTCAAACATACAATTTGTGAAGTCCAAACCATCTCCAATTTGCTAAATAGGAGTATACACACATAAGCACATATCCGAGAGCGAATCTTTAGTACTTTAACATCCAAACCAAAAGTGTTTTTTCAACGGTTTGATTAATGATCACTGAAATTGAATCATCCACCAAAGTCGGATTTTCGCAAGTTGTTGCTGAACAACGGAACTTTGCTAAAACTTCCTTCAATTTTTGCTTGTGAAGAATTTTGTGTTCGAAAATTCGAAACCTTTTCCCAACGATTCCACTTCTTATCCAACGTTTTATTTAATAAGGACAAAGTTTTCGGAAGGCTACGTTATAATGGTACAAACTCGGGTACATGACAACAGAAATGGCTGCAAATCCGAGTTTGAAAAAATGATGTAGCAGTTGAATGGATCGATGGTGTGGGAGAGCTTCAGTCCAATATCATTCATTTCGGAACGCATCTAAATACCATGTGGAATATTAAACACCCGAAAAATGGGTGTTTCGTGACTCAGGGTTAGATCCCACAGAGATTGGGCACTGTCAACCCAATTTCTCCATAGAACTTTGTTGGCTCGTGCTTGATTAGATTTTAAGATCCGATGGAAAATGGATCCCTTAAAACAACAAAAAAACAATGATTTCCAGGTGATGAGTTATCTCAGAAACGCATCCGCCATCACTTTTCTTACGAATTAATACATAGTACCTATCTTCAGAAAAGAAAGCCCATCTTTTAGATGCATCAGAAAATAAGTTCACAAACCGCATTCGTTGCAGAGAATAATTCCACGTCACATTTGATCTCCATTTATCTGTTCTATCAACGGCACAATTATTCTGCTGCAATAATTTTAAAATCGAAAGTCATTTATCCTCGATAGTAAGATAATCAGCATGTGTTTAATTCTTTGAGTTTACACGAGGTTGATAAAGATGTTTATTCGGCCAACGTTTCGACGTCTTCGTCTTCATCAGAGCCGATGATCGGTGGCCCACAGTTGTTCTTCTTCTTGATGTGGCCTTTTTGTAACTGTACCGAGGCGGATCTTCTCGTTAATGGAACACCGCACGAATGAGGCAAGCTAACCCGGTGGTGTTCTTCTATATAAGGCGGTTGTTGTTGAAACTATTATCCGCTGATAATAATTTGTTTTTCAATAGATAATCCACCCTGCAGCAGTCGGTATTACGTTAGCTAGCACACGGCGAATATCAATAACATTTTCGATGAAAATCCGAAATATACGGAACCCACAGCCAATTAGTTTGTAAGTGTTAACGGATAAAACACAACGGACAATAAAAAAATCCGTAAAGGAACCATCCTTTCATATCCAGCAAATTCAAACTAATTCAAAACCAAAAACGTATTTTCTAAAACGCATTTTCTAATGTACAGCCTATGTTAAACATCCATTAAGGCGAAGTATTCTATACCAACTTAACCAAAATAAAGATAAAACAGAAATTCTCCTTTACATCCGAGAATTTCGGATAAATTACTCGCTCAGAAAATAGGTTACAGTACAAAATTCGAGAACACCCTCAAGGTAGCAAGCAAAAACAAGTGAGTTAAATGCTTTTACACCAGTTTCGGTACAAACCAATTTAAACGAATAACTTTTCGAGGTACGAAAACTTCTAAGAACTGCTAAGTTGGTAGATTTGTATTCTAGGATTACCTCTTGATATTGTTCCACCACAATAACTAAACTTGCTAAAATGATCGATTAGGTGACGCGGACGCAATAAAAGTGTGCCAATAGCTATCGCGATGAAAATCTTTACCTGATACGCTGCTCCTGTATTACAATAGGGGTAGCTGATTTAGTACACCTTTGTAGAACATAAGAACAAACGCACATTTTTCAGAGGCTGCAGATTATAGCACAGAATGAAATGGAAAAAGAAAACAAAGTATACGATGTTCCAAAAATGACTGGAAGAAGTATTCCGAAAAACACAGTTTCGCCACTGCTTTCAACCTGTAGTGCTTAAGTACTTACCCCAACTTGCAGGACAGCAATGGTACAGACCTCCTATAAGGGGTTTGGTATGGGGTTGGTTACTCACGAGACTAGATGGTGCGAATTAAATTGGTGAAAAGTACTTAGTAGTTAGGTAATCAACAGCAATTACGTACCTTCTTAGGAGAAAAATCACACTAAGAGGACGGTCACGTTATCTCTGATACAATGGAATTACTTTCCTCTACACCGATAGCCTTATTAAGCACACATATGTTGGCAAGCTTGCATTAATACAAATAGGACATGGATAACATTTCTGAGTCGCTGAAGAGAGAAAGGCTACACGACTGATTATAACGAACCTGGGAAACTACAAACTACTCGTGAAAGACACAAAACCCTCCATAGAAGACCGCGAAAAAATACCCCGTTCGTAGTGATCCTCTTACCGAAAACGGTAGAATTAAATCTTCCTGTATCTCTTGAAAAAGCAAAGCCTAATGGATAATTTTTGCATGCCACAGAGACAAATAGGACACACTGTTGCCCGTTTGAAACACTGAATAATTAGTCATACTTGGGCTAAAGCATGTGTCAACGGATGAACAATGGGATATAAAAGCAGTAGACGACAGGAATGGTCCTAAACAGGGCAAAGTCCATGAAGCCAAGTGTTACAGGGATAGCTTCTATTAGGGTGTAAAGAATATTTCTAGCGTTTAAAAACAAAGTAAGGAATAATAACGAAATGTTTTCCCCAAATTTTTGTAGCACATCTAAAATGACACCCA